TTCCCAGGCTAACCTGTCCTAGCTTCATTACTATTCACTTTACAGGGTATCTGATCTCTTCACTTATCAGCCTGAATCATAGATAAATTTCCATTTTGCAGAGATCTTCTGCCTACAGGATATTTGGCAGTCTGCCGTGGCCCGTGTTGCACTCTCGTAATTGCCTTTAGGGTCCATTAATTAATGCTGGTCCTGGTCGTAAAATGCAATAAAGCTGTAGCCCCATAAACAAACAAGGCAGCGGCGACGCCCGTCAAACGGATAAGCCCCAAATAAATCCAATTTTAAGCGTTCATTAAATGCAGCCAAAAGGCAAAAAAAAGCAAAAGAAATAAATAAATTTAATAAATATATGTGGGGAGAAAAACATGCTACACTGCGACAAAAATGCATATCAAATATAAAACAATTATGCTCCCTATGCGCACACATATGTAGCCGTCTGATTGGAATATGTTTGTATAAGGTTACTAATTGGACGACAAGAGTTTAATTGGGGCAAAGGGAAGAGCATATGGGAACGAAATGGAGTAATTCAATATCCAAACAGTTACGAGCTGGCAACAGCTTTAACATGGAAGGGCTCTCACGCCCACTCACAGGTCCGTTTTAATAGCTCTGATTGCAGCGCAAAGAGAGTATATTAGCGGCATGCACAGTTGGCTCTGTCAGTTTGCCTCTCTAAATAAATATACTCGCGTATGTCGCTGCTTGATGAGTGTTATAATAGGGCATACACTCATGAGGGGAGTAACTAGTTGGTAATTAATTATGTAATATAAAAGAGTCGAATATATATCATATAATTGCCTGAACATATCAAGTTGTTAGAGCTGCGCTATAGAGTATAGAGATTATCATCAATCAAAGTGGAAACTGTATCTTCCATGGCTTTATCAAAATCGAAAGCTTTCATAAATTGAGCTGCAAACGAGTATTATGCAGTTGTTAGCACCCGCTTGACGCGCTTCAATTGCTCTTGTTGGTAGTAAATAATAAATTGAATGAATCACACTGATAGATAAAGTGAAGAGCTCAAGTTTTTAGAGCTGTTAGAGTAGTGTTGGCAAACGTTAAAAAGGGGTTCAAAAAGTGCAACCTGAAGTGGCTTAGCTATATTAACGTATAAGTGCATAATGTTACTCATCAATGAAAAGTTTAAAAATAGTGTTGGTAAACGTAAAGTGCACACAAATTTAGGCCTTATCTAGGCATGATAAAGGACAATATAGTGAGAACTAAATATAATGGGAACTAAAGAAAAAAGTTGAAGTTCGAAATGACACAAGAAATGTTTTCGAGCAGTGTTGGAAAACGTTAAGAATGCATATTTCATAAAGAAACTTTATATGAAATAAGCGTAAACATAACTAACTCAAGTAATAGCTAAGAAAAATGCAGCAGTGTTGGAAAACGTAAAGTAAATATGTTTGACTAGTGTTGTGAAACGCCAACTCAGTTTATGTCTAATAAGAAACATAAAGACAATAAAAAAAGCAAACGAGAAGCACAAAATTAAAGAGCTTATGTAATATGCTGGAGCAGTGCTGGTAAACACGCAGTAGTTCTCAGTGAATAAGTGTTGGAAAACATAAGCCGAATAAGCGCTCTATTTATGGAGTTGGACTTTCAAAAGAGGAAACCTTTTCGACAATCGAACTGTAACTGGAGCATTCCAATTGAATAAGTGGACTGAATAGATGCGAATGAGTGTTTGAATGCATTTGAATAAAAAGTGAGTGTCATGAATATTTGAATGGCAATTGGCAATTGGCTGAGTGCGATTCAAATAGCGAGAGCAAAAGATGTCAACAGGCACAACAAGAGCAGCAACACGAAAGACTTGTTGCATCTGCCACAAACTGTGGTTACTTGTGGCAACACGAGCTTTTCAGGGGGGTTGAATGTTTTGTGGTGGTGTGTTGCAGCGTTGCAACATTGTGGGCTGCTTGTAAAAGTAGATAACGCAGAACTTGAACTCACATTTCATTCATAACACACAGACACAGAGAAAAAGAACGAGAGAGAGAGAGAGAGGGAGCTGGGCAGAGGGAGATAGCATTGCAGATGGCGCTGCCAGCCAAGTGAACGCTCATTCATTTGTTCGCTGTCAGCATACACACCCACACACACACCCACACACACACAGGCATACAGCGGGTAGGTACTTTCATTCATTAAAGTCAGTTGTGACAAACTGAGGCGCACTTCGCTAACTCTTTGGCATTAGTAATGTGTGCGCGCGTGTGTGTGTGCGTGGGTGTGCATACAACCTACACACACACACACACACACACAACGCGCTGAATGCTAACAGAGTGAAGTGCGTGAAATGTGTGTCAGGCGCGTTGCCTACTTTTTGGGGCACAGCTAGAAATGTGTGAATGCATTTATCTAGCTACGTGAACATTAGATATCGCTTCAAGATAATAATAGATATATAATAGAAGATAGTTTGAATTGCTAAATGCACCTTTTAGCAACTTTAGTTTGGCCTCAAGCTAAACAAGTTATAACTACAACTAACTGAATTGTATAGGAAACTTGAGCTGTTTACCTCGACATTGCTGCTGAGATAACTTTGAGAGTTAGCTAATACTTGTGCAATAAGTTTTGGGGAAATTACAGCAAGAGATGTGAGTGGTCATAGAGACGAGGCTGTTGAGTTGCTATAAACTATTGGAAGTGGACTTTGCACATCAAGACAGAGCTCAGCCTTGCCAAGACAGAGCTCAGTTATTGCCTTACCATATGATCAAATTTGATATGGAAACATGAAATCTGAACAATGAAGCAACTCGTCTCACAAATGAGGTCAGTTTCTAGCAGAGATGCATAGAGATATGGAGAAGATTTTGAGCTTATAAAGAGCATATATGCAGCATATATAGAGCGCATTTGCTAGTCTGAATAAATATAGATTTACTATAGAAGATAGTTTCTAGAACAAAATCTATCTATCAATTTTTCTATATAAATTAAATAAATTCTCATCTTAAAATGCAACGTCAAATATATTAAAAAAATATCTAAAAAATATTTATAAATATAAAATTGAATTTTTCTTTAACTATGCTAATTGAACATATAAAAATAAATGCCCGTTGATAAACTGAATAATAGAAGCTTAACTTTCTTCCATATCAAAGCGCATCTAGAGCTCTAATCTGTAGGCCAAGAGTTGGAATGGTTTAAAATTTTAAATAATAAAAAAACAGATTTGAATATAAATCTTAGCAAACAGGCAAAGATTTGATGTGCCTAAAGCTGCCTTCTGTGTCCATATATCATATATATATGCATCATATATACATCAATAATCCATGTAAATAAAATCCAAATAAATCTGAAGACTTTATCAGAAATAATTTCATTTTAGCAGAGATTATAGATCACAAAACAATCCCTAAATATATCAGATTTATATTTGAAACAAACTAAATGAAAATTAAATTCTTAGAGAACTTCAAGGTCATTGCAACGTCTGTCCAGAGGCAACAAAGCAACAGTTGCTCAATTCAGTTACATAAAGCAAAACTTCGATCTTGGCCAGATTAGATATATATAAGGACATATAGATATATAGTTATTTGTATACGAACCGCTGCGACTGCGATTGCTGCTGCTGCTGGCGCTGCTGCTGGTTGATTGCTGCGGCTGTTGCTGTTGCTGTTGCTGCTGATGCTGCTGCAGCGGCAACTGTTGGCGGCGTGCGAAGCGCAGCGGCGCAACGTCGCTGACAGCGTACTCGGCCACCGCGATGCCGTTGGTTGCTGTTGCAACACGCGGTTGCAACACGCACAACAACAACAGGAAAAAAAAACAACAAAAAACAACAATGGCTCGTGCGTTGCTTGTGAGCGTCTTCCTTTGGCAGCTTCTCTCGCTCTCTCTCACTCGCTCTTTCACTCTGCTATCTCTTCGCTATATGTGCGTACAACAACAACAAAAAAAAGCATAAAAAAAAAACAACAACACGCGTTAAGCAAATACTGCGGCAGCGGCAACGCAACAATAAATGTATGCGCAGGGAATGGAGTAGTCGGCAAACGGCGCGAACGGTCGGACGGTCGGACGGACGGACGGACGAACGGACGCAAAGGAAGGAAGCAGGGACCGGGAATGGCTAGGCGGAACGTGTAGCTCGCGGAGCAGCGAAACGCTACGCTGTGGGGCAATTTTCATTTGTATTTACAGTTTACGATGCGAACAATACTAAAAGGCCACGTTTATATCAGATGCGAAACTCTCAACTAGCCTCAACTCAACTGAACACTCGACTCGACTCGACGCGATTCGACACCGAGAACTCGCGCCACGCGACCCGCCTATCGACTCGCGGACTCTAAGCGTTGCTGTTGCTGTTGTTTTTTCGCTTTCGCTTTCGCTTTCTGTTTTCTTTTTTTGGGGATGTCGAGGGGATTGGGGGTAGTATGCGCGATGTGTGTGACGTCCTGGTTCGGGGCACGGCTCTGCTGCGTTGTGGCACGTTGAGGCGTTCAACACCAACTGATGCCACAATGCGCGTTCGTTGTCATTGCCAGCGTCTCAGCATAACGTGAACATCTCAATTTCGTGTGTTGCGCCCCAGCAAGTTGGCAGTCCCATGCCAGCGAACAGCTGTGGACGCCAGCAGCAGCAGCTGTTGCAAGCTTTCGCTTAGCTTACACAACTTTCACTAGCAGCAGCAACAAATTCATGAACAAAAAGCTCTTCCTAAGGCTCTCAAGGATATTCGCACAAGTTGGCAGCGCCCAAAAGCACAAATTTCAAATGCCTAACGAACATTCGAATGTTTCCTTCGTATGATTCATTTTAGATTGCGCATACGCCGGGCATAACCATAATTTCAACTGATATTCTGCTTATATAGAGGAGTTAGAGCAAGTTCTCCTTGGACCTTGGCTGTACTAGAGCCAACCCCAATCAGCTCCAGCTCTTCAGTTGACTGACTTAAGTCATTTGAAGCACTACGTATATCGAGATATTCATTCACTTACCTGTCTGGGTGCTGGAGTCGAAGAAGGTGCTGGTTGTTTCGACAGTCATGGTGCCAATGGTGCCATCAATGATCTGAGCGGACGAGTCGCGCCTGCCGCGATAGCTGCAAAAGGCATTTCAATGGAGTTCAATTAGTTTCAGTATGGCAGTTGGGGCCTCTTGATACGCACCGACAGACGTCGTCGCTCTGGGAGCTCTGCCGTCGAAAGTTGCGACAGCGTATCATCTCCTCGGTGGTCGATTGGCGGCGAAAGCCGCGTGCGATTAGTATCTCCTCGGTGGTCGATTGGCGGCGTATTGCCGGCCGTTGATTCTGTTCGACGGTGGTCGTTTGGGGCCTCGAGCAGGGGCTGGGATCCCGTGACGAGGAGCAGCTATTGGAGTCCGGCGAGCGGGCTGAGCGTGCTGCGGAGCTACTCTGCCGTCGCAGCGTATGTCGCCTGGGACTGCCGTCGCGTTCGTGCGAGCGATCCGGCGAGAGGTGGGTGCGCGAATCCCGCCGACCGCCGCGCGAAGCGCTGTCCGGCGAGAGCGAGTCTCGCCGTGAGGTGCGACGCTCACAGTCCTCTGGCGGATCTGGACTGAGCGCTGGCTGTGAGCCGCGTCGACTGCCGCCGGGCAAGCAGCTCTCATCGAATGCTGTTGCCTGCCGCTGCAAGCGCTGCAGTCGAGGCGCTCGCTCTGGACTGATGCCTGCCTTGGAGTCGCGCCTGTTGACTCGACCGCATTGTGTGGTGGAGTCGCGTCGTCCTTTCGGTGCTGTCGGACTGGTGGCTGGCGGCGTCACCGAGCTGGTTATAATTGTTGGTGGCGGCAGCGCTTGACAGGATGTGTCCACCTGGTGATAAGTGCTGGTTGAGATTAATGGCACAGAGTCTGAGCCGGCGGAGCTAGTCGATGGACGCTGCTCCTGCCGAAAATTGGGAAATTCCGGTGCGGCCAGCGAGTCGCGCTTCTTGGTCACTTGGTATTTGGGTGGTGGAGGCGGCGTTGTTACGCGTCCGGCAACATTGCTGTCACGCCGGCTGCTAGACAGGTAACTTTCGCCCGAGCCGCGTCTCGACGCCTGAACATGGATTTGGGGTGACACACAGAAAGAGAGAGAGAGAGAGGCATGCATAGGCTGGGTTAGTTGGTTGTGGGCGCTGGATTGGTTTAAAGGAAGAATCAAATAACAAACAGCAGCATCTAGGAACGACTGAAGCTGGCTTAGACTGGGTCAAGGGAAGAGTCACACGCTCGACAGCTAAGGATCATTGCCCAGGATCATCGATTCGAGCTGTATGAGATTGGTTTAAGGCAAGAGTCAAGCATCTAGTAGGTGGGTTATTTAATATGAATAGAATCAGAAGAAGGAGATAAGCGTATTATCTCCTCTCTAGGATCAACGATTCGAGCTGGCTGAGGTGGGTGTGAGGCAAGAGTCTAGGGTTAAGTAAAGCAACCATCCTAGGGCTACAATTATTTTTTCTGACTCTCTAAACAGGCATCTGTCCTTGGTAAGTTTCAATTGGAGACAGAGGCAAACCTTTTCTTTAGCAGTCTATGACTCTACCCTTGTCTTGGAATACTTTCTGGACAATATCTTGCTAAATTGATTTATTGCACAGCTAAGCAGATTGTCTAAGATCAAAGGACATTCACTCTGTTTTCATATACATCTGTTCCAAAGGGCTTTTCTAGGTTTTGCGCCAGTCTCCAGGGCTGTTCAACTAGCACTAAGGACAAACTTACGCTCTTAGTGCACTCGACAACGACGGGCACAATGACATTGCTCGAGTGCTCCTCAACTGTGGTGCTTTCTCGTCGGTTCCAGTGCCTGACGAACTCGGCGGTGTTGGAGTCGCGGCGGGAGCGCATGCTCCTTATGCCAGAGTCGGCGCTCGACTCGCGTCGCTTGCGTGGCGTCACATAGCTGGTGGTGGTATGGCCGATATTGGAGCTGGAGCTGGCACCGCCGGTGCCAGCATCTGTAGTCGAGGTGCGCCAGGGCAAGCTGCGTGCCAGATCGGCGAGAGTTTCGCGGCGATTCAACTGGCCTTTGTTGCGGGCCGATTGCTGCTGTTGCTGCTGATGTTGCTGCTGCTGCTGATGCTGCTTGCCGCCGCCGCTCCACTCGCGCAAAATGTCAGTTAACTGAGCCAGCGAGCTGCGTCGGCGTCGCTGCATACCTGGCGGCGGCGATGTGCTTGGCGGAGTTGTGATCTGTGCTGCCGAATCGCGACGACCACCAAGACGTTGGCGTATCGTCGACTCCTCCAGCTGCATAGAGAGAGAGGGACAGAAAGAGAGAGAGAGAGGGAGAGGCAGTGAGTAGTGCTATTATAGCTTGCTTTGGTTGGGGCTTACCTGTTCGCGCACCAAGTCGTCCCAGCCATTGCCACCCTGCCACACCAGGCCGACCTGATGCGACATTATGGGCAGGTTGCATACAAAGCATACGGCTGTCATAGTCCTGCAACGACATAAGTGATTCATATAGCTTATAGAAAATCAAAGACAGAATGAGAGACAGGTGCATGCAGCGTTTGTGGCAAGTAAATCAAATTTCAAATTAGTTTTTCATGTATGGCAGAACATTTTCTTTTGGTAAAAGCTTCACTTGGAGCTTGAAGTTGAAAGCTAACAAGCAAGTGGCTTATGGCTCTGACAGTAAAAGGAAATCGAGCTGAGCTTTTGCAGTCGTTAAGTTGCTTAGCCTTATAAATGATGAGCTTTGAGCTGCTTAAGCCGACTCAGCTTCTCAATTCAATTATCTTTTTGCTTAAAATTGATTTTAAAATCTATAAAGCTCCAGATGAAAAGTGTGCAACATTTTAGAGTTTCTAGAAATTTCAAAATGAAGCAAAAGAGCTTTTTATATGAGGCTTAAAATATATTTTTGAGCTCTTATTTAATTAAAATATGCTTGATCTATGGCAGCTGGCGTAAGTAATCAAGCTGAGGTTTTATAGCTTTTAAAGTGCTTAGCATTATTGGTTATGAGCTTTAACTTTTATCAAGTTGTGCAAGCTTAACAATTACAAAACCTAGAAAACGCACAAAATTTGTGCAAAATATATAATTTGTCCAGACTTTTAGTTTACTTTTAGTCGAAATAGAAAAAGCTTTGCTCAAAGCTGAAAACATATGCTCCTTACTGCTTGTCCTGCTGTGAGCAGCTAGAGCTTGCAGTATAAAGCGTAAAAGCTTACGAGCTTTCGCTTTACGCTTGCTCCAACTCGTTTTCGTATGTTTGGTGCATTTGTAGTAAAGGCATGCTGTTGTTGTGGTTCAAGTGCGATAAAAGCTCATGCAAAGTGTGCTCAAAATGAAAAGGAAAACTTCAAAGCTCTGTGACATGCGCTAAGCTTGACGCTTTGACAATGTGCATTGGGTGGGTGGTGAGTTCTGTTGGCGTGTGGTGAAGTTGAAGTTGAAGTTTTATTTTTATAGCAAGTCAAATCAATTTGAAAGTTGAAGCTGTTGCTTCAGCGAGCTGTTTGTTGCTGTTGTTGTGTATTGAGTAGAGAATTTGTTGATTAACTGTATTAATTGGCTAACTTTTTGCGTATGACGACGCCGCTGCTGGTCTGATCCATGGACCTGTAATTCCGATGTTTTGACATGTCGCATGGCGTTCTGCGTCTGCAGCACTGCAGATCCGTTTGTTATCCAATTGGAAAAAACCGAGCTAATTGGCACAGTTTTTGCCCTAGCTGTGGCTGTTGCTGTTGCTGCTGCTGCGGCTGTTGTTGTCCTGCTGTTGCTGCTTCCACTCAATCAGTTTCTTATTGAATTAATAATGCAAAAACGAATGCAGTTCCAATATAGCCAACAAATGTTCGTTATAGTTTTTATTTGTTTTTGATTTTTGGCTATTTTTTGATTTTGGCTTTTCACTTTAATTAAAAGCGAAATCAATCCAAGTTTCAAAATACTCTTTCCACAGTCGCTCAAACCTCTTTTTGCATCTGAATGCTTTACGTTTTTCGAGTGAAATTTTTGCTTTCATTAAGCAAATCTAATTGGAAGTATTGCAAAATTCTAGCTAGAAGCAATTAGCTTTTGCAAGTCTGTCAAGTAAGAATTTTCTATGCGAAAGTTAAGTTAAGTTTACCATATATTATTTATATTAAAGTTCGAGATTTCCTTGATTTCAATTTATTTCCTTCTAGTTTATTTAACATTTCTCGGACAACTTGAAAGATTTTGTGATCATTGTTCATTTACTCGTGGAAACGGTCAAATGCAAATTTGGAAAAGAGTATTTGAGTTTCGGCTAGCCGAAATCTTTGTTAGCTTATATATGGAATATTTACTGTATTTGTTAAGGTTTGTAATTCTTGTTATCGTTTTTAGTTTTGATTATATTTTGTTGCTTTGCTTTTGATTTTGATTTAAAGTGGGGCGGGGATTGGGAACTTTTGCTACACACACAGAGAGACACAGAGATACACTGAAAAAAATTGAAGAAAAAGAATATTTGTTTGGTTTTAAAACACATTAAGGGGATGTTTATAAATACAAAAAAAAGTCTTTCAATATATACGTACGGTATACATAGGTATATAGATCAAAATTGAAGTTGTTGGGAATCAAATGAATTTGTACTACTTTTTCAACATATTATCGACAAAATCTATTGAGGATGGTATAATACTAGGATCTACTGTTAATACTAGCACATGTTTTGATACGAATTCAAATTGGCTACGTATTCGACATGCACAATTTGCTACTATCTAGAATATATAATAATTTGTATTCAGACTTAGTTCTAATTGGAACTCGTATAAGAATAGTTGAACTTAGAACTAGAATAACTGGCTAGACTAATATATGTTATATATAAATTATTTATTAACTTACAAATCATGTGAATTTTATGAGAAAAAGGAACTTTTATATAAATACGTATTCTTACTTATATATTATTATCTATATTATATAACGTATCTTAATTAAACTACAAAGCAACTATAAGATTTATCGATATGAAAAAAAAATATGCTAACAAAAATAATATAAATTTTTTTACTATTAATTATTGCACAAAAACATTATGCCCCGCCCAGTTTGAACATGTTCAGGGTATCGGCACTGCGGGCCCCAACAATAGTCAACAAATTTGATCTATTAAAAGTTTCACTTTGCTAAATTTGGTTTTCTTCAATGGAATTTAATAAACGTCAAATATTTCCATGAATAATATTTGAGTCTTTCACTGAGTTTACACACAGCTTCGAGTTTACATAAACTATATATAAAGTTTTCAACTAAATGCAAATTGCACTTCGGAATGTTTGTTTCAATTTGTAACCGAAAAGAACGCAGCTCGTGGGTGCCAGCACTTGCATATAATAATATTTGGAAAATAAAAGGCTGTGCTTCAGTGAAAGTGGAAATGCTGAGGAACAACAAACCAGCTCAGCAAGCGAGTGCCAGCACCCAGAGCAAGCAAATGTAGTTAAAATAATAAGCGCCGTAGGGCAACTCCAGAATGGGAAATGTGAAGGGCGCACACACAACTTTCTGATAATACCACCCAAAGTCCGAAAAGTTAACTCAGACTTAAATCTAAATATACAGAGTATAGAGAATGGAGAGTGTATATTGAGAATATAGAGTATATATGGTAACTAAAATATATTAAGTATATTGAGTATATATAATATATAGAGTATACAGAATATATGAAGAATGTAATGTATAGATTATACAGAATATATAGAGTATATAGAGTATATAGAGTATATAGAGTATATATAGTATATAGAGTATATAGAGTATACAGAATATATGAAAAATGTAATGTATAGATTATACAGAATATATAGAGTATATAGAGTATATAGAGTATATAGAGTATATAGAGAATATAAAGTATATAGAGTATATAGAGAATATAAAGTATATAGAGTATACAGAATATATGAAGAATATAATGTATAGATTATACAGAATATATAGAGTATATAGAGTATATAGAGTATATAGAGAATATAAAGTATATAAAGTATATAGAGTATATAGACTATATAGAATATATATAGTATATAGAGTATATAGAGTATATAGAGAATATAAAGTATATAGAGTATATAGAGAATATAAAGTATATAGAGTATACAGAATATATGAAGAATATAATGTATAGATTATACAGAATATATAGAGTATATAGAGTATATAGAGTATGTAGAGAATATAAAGTATATAAAGTATTTAGAGTATATAGACTATATAGAATATATATAGTATATAGAGTATATAGAGTATATAGAGTATATAGAGTATATACAGTAGAATATATGGAATATATATAGTCTATAGAGATAATAGAGTATATAGCATATAGAGAGTGTATAGATTTATTAAGGTCTGATTTATTATCCCTTTATAGCCTATCAAATTTGAAGCATTCGGGTGCTTATCCAAAAACTGAAAGTTGGACACTTAAAAGAAATATTACTTGGCCTTGCTGGTGCCGTGGTGGCGCAGTGTGGTTCAGTGAGTGGTTCGGGTGGTTGGCTGATGCTTACAAAGCCAATCAAAATGAAGCATAAACTTTACTGAAGCGCAAGTTTGTGGTCGCAAACTTAATAACGGGCAGACAGTGATGCTGAAATCTACTCAGAGTTTCTGAATGGCTGTGTTTGCCTCAATATGAGTGTGTGCGTGTGTGTATGTGTGTGTGTGTGTGTTGCTACGGCTGCTGGTGCTGCTGCTGCAGAGTCATGAGCACGACCGGAAGTTGTCAAATGCGTGCGAACTGCCATAGAAGTTGGCAGCTGCTCAGCGTCATTTTGTGGCAAGTGTGCTCAAGTTGTTTGTCAAACACACACACACACACACACACACACACTGACACACACACGCAGGCACACAATCTCGTTTCATAGTCACATTTATGATATGACAGACTGGCCTTTATTCACTCAATAAAATAGTTTTTAAGCAAGTCAAAGTGCGCTTAACGAAAGCTGTTGCTAAGCTATACCCTGTAATTCATAGCTGGCGTATACGCTACAGCCACACAAAAGAGCTGTAGCTCAAACTACCCGCTTCTGCACGCCTACAGGGTATTGAAAAGTGCAAAGTTTCAGCCTGCAAGCGTGCTTGTGTGTATTGGCCAGAAACTTGGCACCTTAACTTGGCCAATCCAATTGCCACCTTCATCTTGTTCAGCCGCTGTGGAGCGCTTAATCAATTTGAAGTGCAATACCAGCTGCAGTCGCCAGCATCCACTCACACACACACGCACACACACACACGCAGAGTTGATGCCGCGGGCTATCTCGTTTGGTGCATATTTCATGGTCTTTGGGCTCAAGCGATTGCAGAGCTCGAATGCCGCCTTCCACTCCATTTGATTGTCAGCTGTCAATTTGCATTGGCAGCGAGACGCAGCACTTTGCCGTCCTTGGACTCATATTTCTTCAGCCACGCCCCAAAAGCCATAAAGTTCAATCGCTCTGGCCACGATGAGCTTATGCAAATATGTACAAAGGGCGAAAGTAGTTAAGCGAAACTGGCCAGGCCCTAGCTTCCTCATGAATACCCTGTAAATATTTGATGTAATTTTCGTATTCAGCTGGCTAATACTAATAGCTGCTTCGAATCATGCTATCATGCTTATCGACTTATCGATAGGCTCTTAAGCTTTTGACCTTTTGCAACACTCATTCAGTATCGTTAAGTGTCTCATAAATATTTATCGATAAGTGTGCTTATGTATACCATAAATTCCATGCCTTGTTATCGATAGCATCCTATAGTAGCAAGCGACGACTGTACTTAATTTTCTTTTCAATTTTCACTTCGCCCCGAGAGCATTCCTAGAAAATGTCTAATCCAGTGCCATCCGAGCTAACGGAGCGCATTTTATTGCATTTGGAGAGCGCTGAGCAGGCGGACAGCCTGCGGCTGGCCGAACAGTTCGGTATCGAGCATCAGAAGATTGTGGGCGCTGTGAAGAGCATTCAGGCACATGGCGAGCGGCTGCTGGACGTGGAGTCAGTCACGCACAAGTCTCTCACCCTGACCGAAGAGGGCCAGGCCGTGGCGCAGAGCGGCAGCCATGAGGCGAATGTCTATGCTGCGGTGCCGGAGCAGGGCATTGGGCAGGCGGAGCTGCTCGCCGCTGGCGGCGGCAATGCCAAGGTGGGCTTCAGCAAGGCCATGTCGCAGGGCTGGCTCTGGCTGGACAAGAGCGTGCAGCCGCCGCTAGTGCGTCGCAAGGTGGCCACGATTGTGGACCAGGTGCGCGAGCAGCTGCTGCAACTGGCCAAGCTGTCCGACAAGGATTTGGCGGACTACAAGAAGCGCAAGCTGCTGCAGGAGTTGAGCACCAAGAGCTTACGGATCAGCAAGGGCCCGGAGTTCAGCACGACGCTGACCAAGCTGGAAACGGACCTCACCATGGAGATGCTGGCCAGCGGGCAGTGGCAGCAGCTCAAGTTTAAGGCCTACAATTTCGATGCTTTGGGTGCGACACCGACGCGTGGACAGCTGCATCCGTTGCTCAAGGTGCGCACCGAATTTCGTCAGATTTTCCTCGAGATGGGCTTCTCGGAGATGGCCACCAACAACTATGTGGAGGCATCGTTCTGGAACTTCGATGCGCTCTTCCAGCCCCAGCAGCATCCGGCGCGCGATGCCCACGACACGTTCTTCATCAAGCAGCCGGCTCTGTGCGGCCCGCTGCCCAACGACTATGTGCAGCGTGTGAGCACCGTGCACTCGGTGGGTGGCTACGGGTCGCTGGGCTACGGCTACAAGTGGCAACTGGCCGAGGCCCAAAAGAATCTGCTGCGCACGCACACAACGGCGGTGAGTGCTCGCAACTTGTTTCAGCTGGCCAACCGGGCGTATGGCTTCAAGCCGGCCAAGTATTTCAGCATTGACAAGGTGTTTCGCAACGAGACCCTGGACGCCACACACCTGGCCGAGTTCCATCAGGTGGAGGGGGTCATTGCCCAAGCCGGGCTCACGCTGGCCGATCTAATTGGCACGCTGCACGAGTTCTTTCGCAAGCTGGGCATCAGCCAGCTGCGTTTCAAGCCGACCTACAATCCGTACACGGAGCCCAGCATGGAGATCTATTGCTATCACGGCGGTCTGGCCAAATGGATTGAGGTCGGCAATTCGGGTATCTTTCGGCCAGAGCTGGTCCGGCCCATGGGCCTGCCGCCCGACGTCAACGTGCTGGGTTGGGGCCTGTCGCTCGAGCGGCCCACAATGGTCAAGTATGGCATTAACAATATACGCGATCTGGTTGGACCCAAGGTCGATCTGAAAATGGTCGAAGACGGGCCCATTTGTCGCCTCGACCGCGATTAACTTACATGCATTTTGCAGCACTGTTTGGCAAACTTATCGATAGCAATTAAATGGCTATTCAGCTGCTATCGATTGCTTATAAATGTGCTTTGCTAATCGATGGCAGTGACTGTAGAGATTGACTTTAGTTTGAGTCTGCATTAAGTTTTGCATGGTTTGACTCTGCTTGAGTATTTGCAGGGTATCTGCAAAGGCTAGACACATTTGATGCAGGAGCTTATCGATATACGATAAGCTCACTCAACTGAATTTGCTGTGTTTACCCAATTTATATATTTTCTATGACAATTTGCTTGGACCAGCCAGGAGTGCTGCTTTTTCCGATAACTAAGTTATCGATAGAATGTAACTGCTGGTATCGGCATTGGCTCAGTTTCTGGCGCTTAGTTGGTCAGCCTATTCAGCAGCCAGTTCTAGGCCAACTGCCAGACAATCGAAATATAATTAATAAATTGAACTATTTTGATACTAGAGGTTTTGCCTCTGTCTTTTGTTCGACTTGCTTTTGGCTGACTTATCGATTTTTTTCTTTTGAGCAAACGCGTAATTGCCTTAAGTATCTACACAACGGGCGCTATTGTCTCTACTGAGACATAAAAGAAAAGCTTTATCAAAAGAAAAAAAGGCTCAAAAAACTTTGTGCGCATTTTTGGCGCTCCTCAAGCTAAAAAAAAAGGAGAAAATGAAATGAAACGCGTAAAGGCAACAACAAATTGAAAATGGCACGCGCAAATTACTTAATCCGACTTAGCAAGTATTTTTCAGTGTGTCACAGCAACCCCCGCCAGGTGGCTGGGGGCGTGGCATGGGGGACCGCGTAAATGCCTGCACGTAGAGCTGGCCGCCTTTGATCTAAATTACCAAACATTTTCAGGTATTTCAACTTTGAATGCCAACCGACAGCCCCAAAGCAACCCTCAAACACGTTGGCAGCAACGACTGCTCAATGCTCGCTCGCAGCTAAAGTCAAATTAGCAAAAGCGAGAATTTGCGAAGCAGTTGAAGTGAGCGGAAAACTTCTTAATTCCAGCCCCCAGGAGGCAACACCTGAAGACGCACACACAGGCCGAATAAACTCTCCTGCCCTGAGCTGAACGCGTATAGAAATGAAGGCGAAGCAGAGTGGAAAGTGAACGATATGAAAATGTCAAATGAATGAGCAGAGGCCGATGATGAGAGGCGCTTTAAAACCTAGTGAGCAGTGGCCAGTGTTAAGGGTCCCAGGCAGTTAATCAATGAAGAGTCGCTGCCCACTCCAGCAGCACCAGTGTTGGGCAATTACATCAAAAGGAAACTGTTGTGCTGGCCAGAGCTTACGAGTCGAAATTAACTAAATAGCCAGCAGCAGCCCCAGCTGCCGCCGCTGCTGAGTAGTTGCTTTGGCACATTTGCTGTCAGACAGGTACAAAAATAATTTGCTGCCTTCACTTTTAGCGCTATAAATTGCATTTCAGGTAAAGAGTGACAGAGGGAGAGAGAGGGGGTGGGGGGCGAACTATAAGTGCTGGCAATTGAAGTAAATTGCTTTAGTTTTCGTTTTGACTGCTGCTGCAGCGTGCAGTTCGCTAATTGTGCATTACGTAGACAAGGTCTGGTCACACTGGTTAGCGCAGCTCCAAATTAGTTCAAGTGCAAAAGTTCTGCAATGCCAAACCAATTAATTGTTGTCAACAACAGCTTTGCCGCTGACAGCGATTTCGCAATTAATCATCTGCCGCCCGCTCGAGATTCGAGATTATCTTTTATCTTGTGCGCCAGGCTTGCATGAGTGACTGGCGTCTGTTACGCCGTAGTATGTTATGAGCGTGTCTCGTCTGCCAAGGACTACAGACTTGAAAACTTTTAGTTTCCATACTCGAATTTCAGAAGTATCTTTTTCGAAAGTATCTTTATGTTCCCAAGGGTATAAGTATCTATCAAGTTCCATCTACAGAAGCATAAGAGTATCTTTTATCTTTAGCTTTTATGTAAGCATCTCTTGAGGGGCTTCATGTCTAATGATGAGTGTGTTTTATCTATTATTATCTGTGCTTTTATAATAAGGCGCTCATTAATATCTTTTACAGCTATGTGAGAAGACATTTTCTTTTATATATTCTACAGATTGCTGTACTTAAGCTTCTCATGAAGAACTCTTAACTCTAAGAAGAGATTTGATGCGTATCTTTTGCCTTTATGTCCTGTGATTCTATGTTCTATAAAGTGAACTTTATCAAATTTGAAGAATATTCTTCTGCATAAGAACCTTGAGCAACTTTCACATGACTTATCTTAAGAGTATCTTCTTATGTAGTAGAAGGCATTCTATGAAAGGAATTTAATCTATAACAAAACACTACGCGAGTTGTCTTTTGCTTAAATTGCTTAAAATTATCTTTAGATATTCCCAGAGAATATTTTATATTTTATCTATATATATGGGTTTTCTATATATGGGTTGTACGAGTCTTATTTATCTTTAAGATATCTTTTATCTGCTGGCTTCATATACGAACTTAATGAGTAAATTATGCCTGCTTTTTAAGCATTTCAGTATTAATTTCGATCTCCTGTATCTTCTATCAGCTGCTTAAGAATGTTATAGTCAGTCTCATCTATATATATTCTTATGTATATATATATTTATATCGATAACTTTCGCTGCCGATAAGTATCGATTATATATAAATTGCCCTCGGCTTGAATATGCTTAGTCGGATTTGCTACAACTTGAGTGGCACTGCTCAGCTATGATATATATAATTTTGTCGAGTTGTTAGCGCATGAAGCGATTGTCAACTTAGGTGCGCGGCGTTGCCATATCGGCGCAAAAGTTTTTAATATTGCTTGGCTTGAAGATGGAGCCAAGTGGGCAAGAGGCACTTGAACTTTTTGTGAACTATTTGCAGCTCGAGGAAACTTGAAAACACTTGAATGGAAAGTTGCAAAGCAGCAGATCAACAAGAAAAAAGCGAAAATAAGGAAAATTTATCCAATAAATCGATCTAGCGAACCTCTTTCACAAATGATTTTAAATGAATACTTTACATGATTTATGAACAGCTCGCCTCAGAGGGTTTGCATAAATAAACAATGCGAGAGTGCGCTGGGCTCTGATATGCAGAGCATCGAAGGGCTTAAGTGAACCTTAGGCCAGGGCGTACGCATCAAAAGCCATTTGGATTTGTGCTGATGCTGATGCTGCAGAGACAGTTCAAAGGGGATTGTGCGCAGGGCAGTGAGCTGCTTGAAATGCACAAGGCGAAGGCGACTGAATGGCCATTGGACATGCAGCCCGAGCTCTGTCTCACATGCCTGGCCGACTGGCCGACTGGCCGACTGGCTGACTGGCAGCTGACAGCAAAATAATTTCCGCTGACAATGCGGAACGCAACCAAATAACCGAAAAGTAAGCGGAAAGCGGAAGGAGCTGCCGGACATAGAGAGCACAGGGGCGGCACAGCGGGTGTCCACACAAAAGGCGCCCACAAACTAGTAGTTGCCTCGACTAAAGTTGTGGGCTTAAAGCAGACCTGCCTAAACTTTAATTGGACCAAACATATCAAAGAACAAGCCTAAGCTGCGCTGAAATCGATGGGAAATGTAAATAATAATTGTGTTGAGCCCTGGGCAGTAAAACCCTTTTGAGCTAGCTCGAGAGTGAAGCAGGCCACATTGACTAGGCAGCGCTTCAATGCTAACTGCTTAATCCGCCCCTGGGCTATGGCCAAAAGTCCGTGAACTTGTTTTGGCGTAGTTGAGCGCCGAGTTTTAATTTGCAGTTCATTATAATATATTGTTCAGCTGCATACTTCGTGCCTTTGGTTGCCCGATCCGGCCCTGGGCTAGAATCGTGGGCGCCCCTTAGAATGTGTGCAAATGTGTAGCATACTTCACGGCGTCATGCAAACCCCAGCAGCCATTATGCAAATCAAGCGAAAAGGCGATGCCAAAGCATTTAAGCCGTTTTAGCCAACCAACCAACCTACACCCGCCACATGCCACATGCCACATGCCACTCCCCTACTGCCACTTCCTCTAGCAAACAGCACAAAGCCACGCCCCATTTAGCGCCTTTGTTATCGCTGCTCTTGTGCTGCTCGTGGGGCCCGAGCTAAAATCTAATTTCCTTTAGCAGTCAGCATGGCAGCAACAATAGCTGTGTGCGTGTGTGTGCGAGTGTGTGTGCATGCATAATTCAGGTGCAAAAAATGAAGTGTTTTCGAGTGAAGCAGCGACCACACAAGTTGCCCAGGTGACTGTCTCTCGCGCTGGGCAGCAACTCCAAAGGCTTAGGCAGCGTGGAGAGAAAAGTAGCTTAAGCCCTGATTTGTTGCTCATTAGCAGCGAAAGTAAACGGGATCGAAATGTGCATTCGATGCAACAGTTGGGACAAACACAACTTTCACTCAAAGCAACGGCAGCTGCTGCGTCGGACTTTCACTTTTGTTCGTGGACTCAAAGTCTGCAGCCAAACAACGGACCGCATCGTTTGCTCGTTTATTTGCTAACAAGTCTAAAATGAAATTAATTATAGTTACGAACAGTTGCCAGCAGTCGGCAGCCAGCAGCCAGCAGCCAGCAGCCACAGGCCAGAGCGGCGTTGGGGCCCCCACCTCATTGTTATTGCTTTGTGTGTGGCCCACATCGCTTGGCTGGCAGCAGAAACTGCTGTTTGGGCAAGTCAACTATTTTATTTTACTTAACTTTACTACTGTGTGTATGTGTATGTATGTGCGTGTGTGTGTGTGTCTGTGTGTGTGTGTCTGTGCTCTTGTTTGCCTTGCTGCCTAAGCAAATAGTTTGTATAAGCTGAGGCTGAGTGCAGCGCCTTCTACCTAAAACTAGAAACAAGTTCGTTTCATCTTCTAGCTTCTATCTTCTATCTTCTATCTTCTATCTTCTATCTTCTATCTTCTATCTTCTATCTTCTATCTTCTATCTTCTATCTTCTATCTTCTATCTTCTATCTTCTATCTTCTATCATCTATCTTCTATCTTCTATCTTCTATCTTCTATCTTCTATCTTCTATCTTCTATCTTCTATCTTCTATCTTCTATCTTCTATCTTCTATCTTCTATCTTCTATCTTCTATCTTCTATCTTCTATCTTCTATCTTCTATCTTCTATCTTCTATCTTCTATCTTCTATCTTCTATCTTCTATCTTCTATCTTCTATCTTCTATCTTCTATCTTCTATCTTCTATCTTCTATCTTCTATCTTCTATCTTCTATCTTCTATCTTCTATCTTCTATCTTCTATCTTTATAGGGTATCTCTGAGTCGTTAGCCTGAT